ATCCTACCCCATGAGTATTTTGACCAGCCATACTTTCCATGACAAATAAGCCACCTACACCCCTTGTAATCCCTCATCTGCCCTTTCAAATATTCTGCCACTTGCCAATCTCTTCCCACCACCTATCTCACGACTCCCACCATACCCATTACCCCAGCCCCAAAATCATTGTTGCCCAGAATCCCTCCAAGCCACTGGGGGGTCGAGTAGTCTTCTCTTGTTTTGTCATCGGCCTCCTGAGCTAGCCAGGTTTGCGTCTTCACATCTCTCGGATGGTTTAGAGTAGGGTCCATCACATCCAAGTTGTCCTTGTGCACATAGCATTGTGAGCACGGACGGTTTGAGAAGTGTTGCATTGTAGAAGTCACCCGAGAGCCCTCGGGGTAATCGGTGATCCACGAGAAGAGCTTAGGCCACACGGTGAATACGTTGCCGTATGGATCCGTCAAGGGCACGGACCTGGATGAATAGAAAGGGAGTACATATCGAATAAGACGGTTAATAGACCTGGATATATGTTACAATGCCATTTAGCCACACGCCGTAAAATACCATGCCATGGAAGGATTTTCAACCTACCCGTTGCATGCAGCAATGATCTTTTCAAGAACAATGTCGACGCATTTTTGGTAGAGCTCCACCTTCTGTGCGGGTTCCATATCTGAGTCGGCGATTGGGAGAAGGGCCACCAAAGCCCTCCCATGTTCGGTCCACCGTAGGTGAAGTGGTATGTTGGTGCAGCCCAAGTACAATGGCCATGCCTTCAACCGCTCATTTCCACTCAAGAGTGTCTCGTCGCTTGCCACGATGAGGGGGCAAACCAGCTCGTCATCTGATAATCCCTTCTGCAAATCATCAGCACATTAACACTGTTAGCGCTAACAAAAACATGTCCCCACCATCGCTGCCACCTCCTCATCTCCCCATTGCATTACACACACCTCCTCATCTCCCCACTGCCTCACACACACCTCCTCATCTCCCCATTGCCTCACACACACCTCCTCTCCCCACTGACTCACACACACATCCTCATCTCCCCACTGACTCACACACACCTCCTCATCCACATCTCTGCCTCACACCCACCTCCTCATCTACATCTCTGCCTCACACCCACCTCCTCATCTACATCTCTGCCTCACACCCACCTCCTCATCTACATCTCTGCCTCACACCCACCTCCTCATCTACATCTCTGCCTCACATCCACCTCCTCATCTACATCTCTGCATCACACCCACCTCCTCATCTACATCTCTGCCTCACACCCACCTCCTCATCTACATCTCCGCCTCACACCCACTTCCTCATCTACATCTCTGCCTCACACCCACCTCCTCATCTACATCTCTGCCTCACACCCACCTCCTCATCTACATCTCTGCCTCACACCCACCTCCTCATCTACATCTCTGCCTCACACCCACCTCCTCATCTACATCTCTGCCTCACACCCACCTCCTCATCTACATCTTTGCCTCACACCCACCTCCTCATCTACATCTCTGCCTCACACCCACCTCCTCATCTACATCTCTGCCTCACACCCACCTCCTCATCTACATCTCTGCCTCACACCCACTTCCTCATCTACATCTCTGCCTCACACCCACCTCATCTACATCTCTGCCTCACACCCACCTCCTCATCTACATCTCTGCCTCACACCCACCTCCTCATCTACATCTCTGCCTCACACCCACCTCCTCATCTACATCTCTGCCTCACACCCACCTCCTCATCTACATCTCTGCCTCACACCCACCTCCTCATCTATCTACATCTCTGCCTCACACCCACCTCCTCATCTACATCTCTGCCTCACACCCACTTCCTCATCTACATCTCTGCCTCACACCCACCTCCTCATCTACATCTCTGCCTCACACCCACTTCCTCATCTACATCTCTGCCTCACACCCACCTCCTCATCTACATCTCTGCCTCACACCCACTTCCTCATCTACATCTCTGCCTCACACCCACTTCCTCATCTACATCTCTGCCTCACACCCACCTCCTCATCTACATCTCTGCCTCACACCCACTTCCTCATCTACATCTCTGCCTCACACCCACCTCCTCATCTACATCTCTGCCTCATACAAATGGACTGTGCCATTGTGTCTTCCATTCTCGACATACATACCTGCGCCTCCTCCCATAACGTTCCTGTCTCTGCCGCCCCATAAACCCTGTCCTCTCCTTCATATGTTGGTGCTGCTCTGTGTACGAAACCTTTAGCATTCCTCGGGTCTGCCCACAGCCGACGTAGCGCCTACAGTGGCAGTATGAGAGCCTTAATACTTTGCAACAACAGCTTATGAAATGGGCTCATGTACGCTGCCTGGAAGCATGAACATTGTACCTCCAGAGGGTCAATGAACTTTAGAATGAAGACAGTGGGCCACCCATCCACACGAACTTCCACTGTGATGTACTTGCGCTTCTCTATACCCAAGATCTCCAACGCATACTTGTCAATCGCGTATTTCCCATTCCAGTCCCATAGTGCGTTGGGATCGAAGCCCTTGTTCTTCACGAGGCGGAAGAAGTATGCAATGTCACTCCCGCACATCCCCATTCCCTTGTTGCACTGAGCCATGAAGTGGTATGTCTCGCGGCGCGTGTCAAACACCGGGACGGTTTCGTCCTCGTTCAAGTCCGCAAAAAACTGACTTCCAGCGAATTCTCTCGTCACGCCAGGGGTGTTGTCATTGACGAATATCGGTGGAGCATTTTGCTCACCTCCCACATCGCCCGCGCTCCCCGGAGCGTTTAGTGGTGGATGGGCATGCTGCACTGTAGACGGTGGCGGGACCAGCACACTGGGTCGCGGAAAGTCAATCGTACCGAACCGTGCGCGCTTTCGGATACATTCTTCGTTGCCACGTTCATGGTTTGAAACGCCGCTCTCTGTGTCAAACGTCGCCTCACAGAACATGCATCCGTAGTGAGACATTTCCTGCATGCAAAACAAAACGACATGTCGGTAACATGAGAATTGGACGTGCACTAGAATGTACTTCACGTACTTCACTAGAAGTGCCTTACGTACTTCACTCCTTACTAGCGTCGAACCTCAACACGTTACACCAGTGTGTTTTGCTTAACGGTTGTTAGACCAAGTATTTGTAAACTCACCGTGATTGTCGTGATTACTAGACTGATATGTAGCAGGATGTGAAACAACCTAGCCATCATGCTGCCTGAGGCAACATTTGAGTGGTGTGAAGCTGCCTTTGTTGCTAGTTAGCACGGATTTGGTCAGAGCCTTTATAATCCGTCGAGCAGAGGTGAGTCGGTCAGGCGGATTGGGTGGGAGGGGGGTTTGTTCTGGCAATCAGGAGATGAACAGCGTCTGTAGCGCTCGAATCGCCACGCTCCCCGATTTCCGAATTTGAATGTACGCTACATCGGGAGTACGCGGCGCGATGTTACGATTCGGTGGTTTGAGAATACCTTGTTGAACGGAAATGTGATGAAAAATATGTACACCGTCAAATGGGAGTTTTTCAGGCAATACAAGAGTGTAAATGTGGCTTAAACTATAACAATCTTCTACATACGATGTAGCATGTAGCTTCACATAAACTGGTATATTGTGTCCTGCTCATAAAATATAGATTAGAAAGATTTGCACCACCTGCCAATATCCATGCAAGCAAGCCATCTGTGGACGAGTATTCACATTCAACGACGCAGGGACATATGTTTGGTTCCCCCACACGGAAGTCCTCTGTAGCATATGATCCATCGGCATTTACGGAATCCATGCAAACAGGGAGTAAGGGCAAGTAACGGCCATCCACTCTCACAAATGAGAGGTACCTAAGAGCACCCGTGCTAATAGGGGTTTGAAAGCCTCAACAATGCCTGTATATTGTGGGCATTAACAGAGATTTGATCCAGGGTTGCATGTTGTAACAAGAAACAGTGTAAGTATTCACGGCAGACACAATCAGGCTTACGAATGGAAAGCAATGCGTCACATATCTCCTCCAGCTGGCCTATAATCCCGCCTCCTTGCTATGCAATTGGCCATGCCGCTCAGTCACACTGAATTCGTGGCCACTCCTTCATCCTATTAATCAGCCCTTAGGCTACGTCCATGTGGTCGGGTTTCCAACGGGTGACACAAGCGTGCAGCAGGGCGCTTAACTATCTCACGAGTGTGCGAGCAACCCATATTGGCCTACTACAAGCCTGAGAACCGATTGCCATTAGAGGTCACGGCGCAGTAGCTTTCTGGGCTTTACTTCCTGTGGATGTTGCCGTGGTGTGTACTGATGATTCGAGGCCGGATGGTGGGTTACAATAAGAGAGTAAGCGGGAGGTGAACATGTAATGCTAACTACAAGCTGAGTGATCGTGTTGTTGAATTATGAGAAGCTGAGGAAGAATCTATTGATGAAGCTGAGAGACAGAGCTGTCGAAAAATGGGAATAAAGGAGGGGGTTGCTGAGTGTGAAGCACAGCGGGGTGTGTGAGGTGAACCATGAGAGTGAAATTATGGATTTGAACCCATGCCAACCAACGAAATGTGCCAGGTGGGCTCGACTTGCGGGATTTCAAGCAGCATCTGCTTCGAACACGTGTCGACTCGAAAGTGTGTTGGGCGTTTTTGGGCCAATAGATGACCGTTCGTCGCGACCATCCAACCCCTTGAATGCACATACACGAACCTCAAGATTACAAGCTGAGGTGGATCGTTTCCCCGTTGTCGAGTGCCTCTCAAAGTCGACATGACATGCCAAAGTGTGTTACATGGTGGCATGGCAGGCGTAAATCAGATGAGAGATTTAGATTCTGAAAATTTCAGACAAGCCCCTGACGAAAACATGATGCGACAGCAGAGTGTCGTTTCGAACACTAGGCGTTGGTTTGCAAGCCATCGCCTGGGTATGCCGGAGAAAGAGAGGAAAGCACGTGTGACTGAATAAATCCTTTACGGAATCGAGCAAACATCTGCGAGGCCAATCATGTGAATACCTTCCATGTACGTTCTTGTAGTTGGCGCGGCGCAGAAACTCTATCCATGGGAAACGCTAAGGTGAATGTGAAAATGCATCGCGGAGAAACGGACGACTTTTGTCTTCCCCATTTTCCCCTTCCCGTCGTCCCCATTTTCCCCTTCCCGTCGTCCCCATCTTCCCCTTCCCATCGTGGCCATTTTCCCCTTCCAATCGTCCCCATTTTCACCTTCCAGTAGTCCCCACGTTCCCTTCCGGCCGTCCCCGCTTTCCCATTCCCGTCGCCCCCACCTTTGGCTCCCCGTCGTCCCACCTTCCCCTTCCCGTCGTCCCACCTTCCCCTTCCCGTCGTCCCACCTTCCCCTTCCCGTCGTCCCACCTTCCCCTTCCCGTCGCACCTATTTTCCCCTTCCCATCGTCCACATTTTCCCCTTCCAATCGTCCCCATTTTCCCCTTCGAATCGTCCCTATTTTCCCCTTCCAATCGTCCCCATTTTCCCCTTTCCAATCGTCCCCATTTTCCACTTCCAATCGTCCCCATTTTCCCCTTCCAATCGTCCCCATTTTCCCCTTCCAATCGTCCCCATTTTCCCCTTCCAATCGTCCCCAATTTCCCCTTCCAGTAGTCCCCATGTTCCCTTCCCGTCGCCCCCACCTTCCCCGTCCCGTCATCCCACCTTTCCCCTTCCCGTCGTCATGAATAAGGTAAGTGCGAGGCACAACGAACCTTCTCCATTCGGCTCCTCAACGCACTCAGCTCTTCTTCTCCCTAATGATACTATTTGTTATGCACATACACACGCCCATCTCCACTTCCCTCCATTCCGCTACCCCCAACTCAGTTCCCACGTCTCCCTTTTCCGTCCACATCCCCGGTCCACTTACTCCCAACTCACAGCTCACTTTTCCTCCTTCTACCACTTACTCTCAGCTCACATCTATGGCTCCCACACCTAAACCCACCTCCATCACCACTTACTCTCATCTCACCTCCCCAACCACCATTCTCCCGTTCTCCGATCCTCATCAACTCCCGCCCACACATCCTCATCCCTCTCCCCCCCCTCCCCCCAATTCTCCATTACCCATCTCCTCCCGTCCACTTGATGTCATCTCTATCCGTTCCCCCGGTGTCACCCCCTCCAACCCCAAACTCGTCTTCCCCTCTGCCTCCCCTCGCTGTCCCTTTCGGACCCTCCCATCATCTCCCCCTTTGCCTCACCTTAATTCTCCCTCTGCCTCCCATCATCTCCCCCTTTGCCTCCCCTCAATTCTCCCTCTGCCTCCACTAATCCTCCCCTCTGCCTCCACTCATCCTCCGCTCTGCCTCCACTCATCCTCCCCTCTGCCTCCACTCATCTGCCCTTTTGCCTCAGATCATCTAACCCTGAGTATCTCCTCAAATGCGAACCGCGCTTGGGTGAACAGTGCTGACAGCGCGGCAAGGAACATAGGCGACAACAATGTGGAAGGCACGCCAACCACCGTGGTTTGCAAACGTGGCACCTTGGTTATATGTGGAAAATATATGAGTTCTTTGAAGTCAGCCAAAACTATTCTAAACATTACCGCACCCATCGTGACTCCCTGCACTCACACTCCATACACCCATCAAGACTCGCTGCGTCGAACATCTCCCTCTCCTCTCCCCTGCTCCTCCCCCTCCCATTCCCCCCCCGGTCCACCGTACGATTCTGGAACATCCATGCACTGACAGGCGACACCAGCGCGCACAAAACCCACTCTCCTGTCGTGGGCAGGTTGATTGGAGGCAATCGCAACACCTCCACTATCCCTGACACCGTCACCGCCCTCAACTCTATGCTCGCTCTGTACGCTCCATGCTTGAGAGCCTTAGTCGACACCATGTACGGGAGCACTCTGACAAAGCTGGTTGTACTAGCGAATAATCATATTTTCTTCTCATCTACCCCGGTGCACTGAACCTCTCCGCTTCCACTCTGAAACTCTCGTGATTTCCTCTTCCCTTCCACTCTGAGCCTCTCGTGATTCCCTCTTCCCTTCCACTCTGAACCTCTCGTGATTTCCTCTTCCCTTCCACTCTCAACCACTCGTGATTTCCTCATCCCTTCCACTCTGAACCTCTCATGATTTCCTCTTCCCTTCCACTCTGAACCTCTCGTGATTTCCTCTTCCCTTCCACTCTGAGCCTCTCGTGATTTCCTCTTCCCTTCCACTCTGAACCTCTCGTGATTTCCTCTTCCCTTCCACTCTCAACCTCTCGTGATTTCCCTGCCCTTACCCTCCTCGCATCCCTGTTGTGCCCCTACTCTGCTCCCCGCCCATGTGGTATCCCCGGCCCCATCTCTCCTCTGCACTCTTCTCCCTCGATTGCAAGATAGCAGACCCTTCTGGAACTCACTTGTCTGCTGTGCCCTTCCTCTCTCCTTCCCCCCGCCCAGCACAGATGTGAGATAGAGATTGTTTATGGGGCCGCTCCCGTAGCCTTCGCATTGCCAACCCACCGTCACAACCTCCTCTTGACCTATCCGGCAACTTCCTCTACTCCCCCACCGCTTCCTACTCTGCTCAAACCACCACAACTACCCCCCCAACATAGTCAATCAACAGCACAGCAACACCAATGCCTCGTGGATCGTCATCGAGTGTGTTCCCCTGTCTTGCCCCTGCTCTGCTCACATACCTCCTTTCCTCTCCTGCCTTTACACCCTCTTGCGCCTCTCTGCCTCCAAGCGCTTCCACCTCCCATGGACAACACCAACGTGCACAAAAGATGTAAGCCGCTGCCTGCCTTCCCTCCTGCCCTCCCCCCAACTTCCCCTTTGCCTCCCCTTATCTTCCCCCCTATCTTCATCCATCCTCACCTCCGCCTCCCCTCATCCTCCCCTTTGCCTCTCCTCATCTCCCCTCCGCCACCCCTCATCTGTGAAGCGCACCTGGGGTGATAGAGATGACAGCGCAGCTAAAAATAGAGGCGACATCGATGCAGGGGACGATGGGGAAGTGAAACCATGGAGACCCTGAGCATAGCACAAGAATAGGCCTGGCTAGATACGTGATGTGGAATTCTGAAACAAAGTTTATGTTCGGAGTTTCCGTAAGGCCCCAAAGTGAAGGAAAATATGCTACACACCACCATCTCAACGTTGAAACCGCACCATGCCGTCCGCATGCCAATCCTCATATGCCCTTTCACGTGCTATTGGTCAGATACATTTATATACCAGTAAGGAGCTCCGGACCGCACCATAATGACACTACTTTGAACTTTTGAAAAAACTTACATATTGCAGCCACAAGCCACGAGAAACAGTGCGGAGCTGAAAGTAGACAACGCTTGAGATATGGATTGTCGTTTCAGCTCCGGACTGTCCTAACACGAACCCTCTAACACACTTGCTTTAACCCTATTTTAAACGCCCATGACTTTCTCGACGTTGTGTTCTTTCATTTGCCTGTTCGTGCAACACATTCTCCAACAGAAAGTCATGAAGGTTATTTTTATAACAAATTCAATATAAACTCTTTTTACAAAAGAGAATGAAACCCTGATAGCACTCCAAAGGTGTACATACAGACACCTAATCCCAGCGTGCGGTCTGTGTTTCTGCCGGAGCGCACTGAAACTTGCGCTCCTGGCAAGCCGCTCTGTCTAGGCGTTTCAGAAGCGCAACCCGTTTCCCCGCAACGCCCAATCTGACGGGGCTTGTGCAGGTTCTGAAACTGGCGGAATGTTTTGCTCCCCGGCTGCCTGTCTAAACAGTCACTTCCGTTAACCTTAAGTAACGCGATCGAGTTCCTAGTAACCCTAACAACTTGAGAGTTCATGTTTCACGATACTCTGGCTGGACGCTCGGGGGAGGGATAACACAACCTCATTCGTCGCTTAGAACTTAGAAACCTGTTAGACATGAATAGTAAGGGTCTCCATAGACCACGCCTTCAACAAACCCGTGTATCTTCCCGTTTTTTGCACGTTCAGCAATCCTGAGCAAGGAAACCGTGAATCCAGCGGTGTGTTCCGTGGGTCCTGGACGACGACCTCGCTTATGGACCGTCGGATCTGACAACCGTGCATGATTGACGGTCGTAAAACTATCAGGTGTGACTGTAATGTATGAACACCCACAAGGCCACTGTGCTTCCACCGATATGCAGGTCGATGTGGCTTGAGTGGTCACTTTTCACACCCCTCCACCCACCTCTACATGACGCCCTTCATTCAATTGTTGATGGCAGCACTCCTCCCTATCAGTTTCTCGCATTAGGGTTTCAAGTGCAAATTGTACTGCTCTGAACGATACCCTTTCTTAGCTTGCTGCTATTCATCCGTCAAACAATCATGGTGACTTACAATAGCATGAAGTAGCAGGAAATATGTTTTATTTTTGGTGTCTTAAAGAGCTGCTGCGCAACTGATCTCTAAGCCATAACGACGCCGCTCATTGTGGTTTCGCCACTATGATGCAAGTGGCTGCTGGAAACGTCATTACATCAAATGGTCGCGGCCATGGTGGACGTAGAGGCGGAAGCCGGGGAGGGCGGGGTGGAAAAGGACCGCCGGAACCCCTCCCAGAAGGTGTGTCTTATCAATGAGTGTGTCTTTTGTTGCCTTCGAAATGCCCAGTTACACCTTTGCAACGACTATGAGTAGTCCGCGTGATAAGCATAGTTTCTAACACGTTACATTGCTTGTGTCAACATTGCTTTTTGCACATTGCTTGCAAGAAGCCGTGGATGGAAGCCATTGGACTACGTGATGGAGAATGCCAAGAACACCACGTCCGAATCGGACCCGGAGGACACAAGTGGACATGCTCCAGTGATGGCGACGACCGAGACACAGCAACCACGTGTGCAAAATGCAGCCAAAAGCCACGTGTACAAGACTCGTAGTAAAAAACCATCTGTTGGCGCCACCGCCTTCACTTCTGGCCAGCAGCTGCACTCTACTGCTGCTCCCGCAACTCCTGGCGCCACCGCCTTCACTTCTGGCCAGCAGCTGCACTCTACTGCTGCTCCCGCAACTGCTGGCGCCACCGCCTTCACTTCTGGCCAGCAGCTGCACTCTACTGCTGCTCCCGCAACTGCTGGCGCCACCGCCTTCACTTCTGGCCAGCAGCTGCACTCTACTGCTGCTCCCGCAACTGCTGGCGCCACCAACCTCAATTCTGGCCAGCAGCTGCACTCTACTGCTGCTCCCGCAACTGCTGGTGCCACCAACCTCAATTCTGGCCAGCAGCTGCACTCTACTGCTGCTCCCGCAACTGCTGGCACCACCAACCTCACTTCTGGCCAGCAGCTGCACTCTACTGCTGCTTCCGCAACTGCTGGCGCCACCAACTTCACCTCTGGCCAGCAGCTGCACTCTACTGCTGCTGCTCCCGCAACTGCTGGCGCCACCGCCTTCACTTCTGGCCAGCAGCTGCACTCTACTGCTGCTGCTCCCGCAACTGCTGGCGCCACCGCCTTCACTTCTGGCCAGCAGCTGCACTCTACTGCTGCTCCCGCAACTGCTGGCGCCACCGCCTTCACTTCTGGCCAGCAGCTGCACTCTACTGCTGCTCCTGCAACTGCTGGCGCCACCGCCTTCACTTCTGGCCAGCAACTGCACTCTACTGCTGCTCCCGCAACTGCTGGCGCCACCGCCTTCACTTCTGGCCAGCAGCTGCACTCTACTGCTGCTCCCGCAACTGCTGGCGCCACCGCCTTCACTTCTGGCCAGCAGCTGCACTCTACTGCTGGTCCCGCAACTGCTGGCGCCACCGCCTTCACTTCTGGCCAGCAGCTGCACTCTACTGCTGCTCCCGCAACTGCTGGCGACACCGCCTTCACTTCTGGCCAGCAGCTGCACTCTACTGCTGCTCCCGCAACTGCTTGCGCCACCGCCTTCACTTCTGGCCAGCAGCTGCACTCTACTGCTGCTCCCGCAACTGCTGGCGCCACCGCCTTCACTTCTGGCCAGCAGCTGCACTCTACTGCTGCTCCCGCAACTGCTGGCGCCACCGCCTTCACTTCTGGCCAGCAGCTGCACTCTACTGCTGCTCCCGCAACTGCTGGCGCCACCGCCTTCACTTCTGGCCAGCAGCTGCACTCTACTGCTGCTCCCGCAACTGCTGGCGCCACCAACTTCGCTACTGGCCAGCGGCTGCCTACCCCAGTTGCTCCTCAAAATGACAGCCTCCCCTACTCAGGATTTGCCAGCCCTTCACAGCAGGTCTTCGTGCAATGTGACGTAGATTCCGAATCTGAGGAGTACGGAGAGGGTGCCGACGAATTCGACGAGATCTTCAACAACGTGACAGCGGGAACTGCATCTCCGGCTGTTGCTGCCAGCGGGTCCAATGCTGCGGCATCCACCCATGCTGGTGTGGCACGTACGTCTGAGGGGATTAACAACGCTACAGTGCTTGCTGCAGGTGATGTCATCTCGCGGGCAGAGTTTGAGGCGCTGTCGGCCCAATTCCGGAAGGTGGAGCGCGAAAACGTGGCTCTAAGCAACCAAGTCAACTACCTCCGCCGCTTAAACCAGTCAGTTTCTGCCCGATCTGGTAGCCCCGCAGGTGATGAGACCACGCCCAACGAAGGAGCATCAGCCGGAGCATTGGCTATGGATCCTGAAATTGTGCCGCAGGTCTACTTGTCTTCACGCCTGGCCGTTGGTCGCGCCATCGCCAATGCGTACCAGAACGGCGGCATTATGTGCGGTGACAGCGTGGCGCCCGAGTACGAGTCATTTGCGGCTCAGCTTGCTGACGCTATGAAGAAGGTTCCGCCTCACAAAGGTGGACTTACTGTAAGCGTGAAGTTAATGTGCCATTGAAACTTGACTTGATTCAAGTTTTCAGCAAACCCTTAACCCCAGTCATTGAATCTTGCCTTGATAAATGTTTCCAGCAAACCTTCATCCCTTGTCATTGAAACTTGCCTTGATTTGAGTTAACCCGAACCTTAAACCCCAGTCATTGAGATTTCCCTTGTTTCTATACTGCTCAAACCCTGAACCCTTGTCTATGTAGTACGTAATCTACTGCCATGCACCCTATATCGCAGATTGTGATGAAAAAAACCGTGGACATCCTCATGTTCCAAACCCCGAACGACCGAGTCGACTATTGGCCGCCCCGAAGTAGTCTTCTCGGGGCTATGGAAGTTGCATTGGAGTACACCACGCAACAGCAGAAGTGGAATCTGATCCACGTCTACGAGTTTGATCTCGTTCGGCGCGGTTACATCCGAGACCAGCTCCAAGAGTTTCGAAACGACTGCTTGACGACTGGACGCTGTGCGGTCATTAATGCGTTCGATTTATGCATTTCTCGACCGGACAAGCAACGGGCGGTGATGGGAACCGAAGACGTCACCAAGTTTCTGACAAAGTACAAGCCGGGTGAGTGGTAATTGAGATCTATGATACCCATTGCATTTTCACTCACAGCCATCTAGAACCCCCCCCCCCCCCTTTTCCTGGCCTCCCCTCTCCCCTGATCTGTTGCCTTTTGCCCCCCATACACCTTTCACTGGCTTCCACTTTCACTCGTTTGAAACCATTTGACTTTCCATCACAGCAACTGCGTATCTGCCTTCCTTGACCTCCCCTCTCCCTCATTCTCCCTCATTCCCTCCCATTTATTCTGCCTTTTTGCCGTTCCCAAAACAGCAGCCCCGTAGTCGCCTTCTCTGTTCACCCCTCTCCCCCCTTGCGCTCCCCTCTGCTTTTCTCTCACAGCAACACCGTTACTGCCATCCTTGTCCTCCCATCTCCCCATGTTTGCTACCCTTTGGCTTTACCTCATATGAGCCCTAATCCCCACCTTACCCCCCCTCTCTTCCCAGGGCTGCTGCCCATAGCCTTTCCCTCTCAAAAACCCTCAAACCACCTTCCCTGGCCTCCACTCGGCCCTGTTCTGCTGCCTTTGGCGTTTGTATCACAACAACCCCGTACCCAACTTCAGTGTCCTGCCCTCCCACCGGTTTTTCTGCCTTTTATACTCTCTCACAGGAATTCCGTTCTCGTGTTCCAATAGGTGCTCTCCTTTGCCTTTCCCTAGCAGCAACATCATTACCACGATTATTGTCTTCCCATATTCCCCTTTTGGCTACCCTTTGCCTTCCATGGCCTCCACCACTCTCCTCACTTTGGCTGCCGTTTGCATCTCCATCACATCAACCTTGTTCCCCCTTCCACTGTCCTCCCCTCTCCTCCAGGTTGCTGCCCTTAGCATTTCCCTCACAGGAACCCTGTCCTCACCTTACCCCATCTTCCCTTCTCCCTTGTTTTGCTGCCCTTAGCCTTTCCCTCACAGGAACCCTGTCCTCATCTTACCCCCTCTTCTCTTCTCCCCTGTTCTGCTGCCCTTATCCTTTCCCTCACAGGAACCCTGTCCTCACCTTACCCCCTCTTCCCTTCTCCCCTGTTCTGCTGCCCTTATCCTTTCCCTCACAGGAACCCTGTCCTGACCTTACCCCCTCTTCCCTTCTCCCCTGTTCTGCTGCCCTTAGCCTTTCCCTCACATGAACCCTGTCCTCACCTTACCCCCTCTTCCCTCACAGCAACCTCTGCCTTCCCTGTCCTCCCATCTCCCAGGTTCTGCTGCCCTATGCTTTTCCTTCACAGAAACCTCTTTCTCGCCATCCCTGGTCTGCACTCTTCCCATATTTGCTGTCGTTTGCCTTTCCCTCGTAGAAACCCCGTACCCCCTTTCCCTGTCCTCCCCTCTCTGCCAATCTGCTGCCCTTAGCCCTTGTTCCACAGGAACCCCCGTACCGCCTTCCCCGACCTCCACTCGGCCCCGTCCTGCTGCCCTATCCCTCCTTAGCTCACACGCATTATGTTGGTGTTATCATATGCCAGTTTGTTTGTTCTAATGCCCATGCACAGTCCCAGGTTCTTTTGGACTTCGAATCTGGCACATGAACACGCTTGGTGTCCCTTTTGCAAGTCCTGTCTTTCTCTCTGGCATCGCCAAGTCTTTCAAGCGCGATGGGCACAACGTCGTTCTGCTCCTCTTGATGCACATCGCGTTCTGGTTGTGCGGGGTGAGAGCATTTTGTCACAGATTTTAATGCTCAAGGGTAGCTGCGATGATTCAAAACTAAACCATATTCATGTTTTCATTGCAGGTTGAAAGGAAGCTTGAAGGAAAAGACATGTCCCAGAGCCCTAAAGAAAACCGCGCATTTGTTATGGATTATTATGTCAAGGTGCGGGAATGGGTGCGTGCAATCCTTGCAATAAGGAACGACACCCGAGGACCTTGGTGGGACGACAATCATCATGCGTGGAAGTTTGCAGGTGGACAGTCACATGTTTTTATCAGCAACGATGGTGTGGACAATGACTAGTTTAGCGTAAAAAAAAAAAACACTCGGCTCGTAACCTTTGAACGAAACTGGTAGTGGTCTTAGTCTTGTATCTGGTTTTGGTTTTAATAGATTGTTGATTTACTTTTTAGGTTATAATAACAAATTGTAGTACTGTAATGGAAATTATTATATTAGGCATCATATTCATATGTGTTTTATACAATCTATTATAGAATAGAAATTACTATTTGTGATTGTAATATGAATGCATAATTGCACATAAAAGAGATATTATATACGTCAAGTGCGCATTTGTTACTTGTACCGCGTTACGCGGTAACACTATTCTCCCTAATGTATCACTGTATCGATTCGTTTTTTCCGACACCCTGTATCGAGTCGTAACATGTATCGTAACTGAGAAACAGAGCAGTTCGCTCCGCTTTCTGTAGACCTCGCTTCCGATTTCGTTATTGTTTTTCGGCCAATTAGAATGGCGTGCGACTGCTGGTAAGGTCGATCAAATGTGAACAGGTGGAAGACACGTGTCATAATGGATTTTGCTCAAGTTCATAGCTACGATAGAGTAGCTTCGAGAATCTGGCGATGTGCAGCCCAGATTCGACTTCAATCTCCAGTCTCAAAAGAAACCAAACAGAGCTACTCTCAAGTAGCTTCATTCTCTTCATGATGAGCGGCTCAGATTCGTCGCGAATTATTGTCTGTTGAAAATCGAGCCCAACAGCAACTTCAACGTAACCTTGCCAGCAACCCCAAGGCAGCCCACACCAGACCAACCATAGAGCTACCCCAAAGTAGCTTCGCTGCAGCTTTTGGAAGCCCATTTTTTTGCGATGATGTGACGCTTCTGATGGTGGTGAGCTGAGGTTGAGGAGGCCGGGTCAAGGAATCGGCAGGGTTGAGGCGGCCAGCGCGGTACTCGATTTTCAGCTCCGGTACGTACTGTTCCAGGTACTCCATCCATCGGGCCTGCCTCGGGGTGAGATGGGGCTGCGTCTTCAGGTATTGCAGGGTGCAGTGATCGGTAAGAACAGTGACGGGCTGCATGTGAACATAGCAGCGCCACTTCTTGATTGCATGGACGATGGCCAGCGCCTCGCGATCGTGAGTAGCATAGTTGCACTCGGCAGGTTTGAGTTTCCGGGACTCGAAGGCGATAGGCTGAAGGCCATGCCCTTGATCTTGACAGAGAATTGCACCCGTTGCAACCTGAGACGCATCTGTCCATATCACGTAGGGAAGGGAGGGGTTGGGTAGGGCTAGAGTAGGAGAAGAGGTTAGTGCACACTTGAGAGCATTGAAGGCAGTTTGCTGGTCAGAGTCCTAATGGAACGGTTCAGTTTTGCGAAAAAGGTTGGATAGGGGAGAGGTGATGGCAGCAAAGTGTCGAATGAACTTGCGGTAGTAGTTGGCAAGACCAAGGAAGGCTTGCACTTCCTTGATAGAGGTTGGCTCCTTCCATTCTCTGATTGCTTGGACTTTGGAAGGGTCCATAGCAAGCTGGTTGTGTGAGATGATGTGGCCCAAGAAAGGAATCGAGGGCTTGGCAAACTCACACTTGCTCTGTTTGGCGAAGAGACGATGCTCACGAAGCCGTGTGAAGACTTGCCTTAGATGCTCAGCGTGTTCCTTCAAGGATTTGCTATAAATCAGAATGTCATCGATGAAGATGATGACAAACCGGTCCAAGAAATCCCGAAAGACACTGTGCATCAAGGACATGAAGGTGGCAGGGGCATTCGTTAGTCCGAAAGGAAGCACGAGAAACTCGAAATGCCCATACCGTGTTCGAAAGGCGGTTTTCTCGATGTCTTCGTCAGCGACACGCACTTGATGGTAACCGCTTCGTAGGTCCAGCTTGCTGAAAATTGTGGCCTCACCAAGTTGATCAAAGAGTTCTTCCACTCGAGGTAGCGGGTAGCGATTCTTGACGGTGATTTTGTTGAGCGCACGGTAGTCAACGCACATGCGCATGCTGCCATCTTTCTTTTTGACGAAGAGAATCGGTGCTGCATAGGGAGAGGAGCTGACACGGATGAAGCCCTTCTCAAGAAGCTCCTCCAACTGCTTCTGGACTTCTTTCAGCTCGGCAGCGCTCATCCGGTACGTAGCGCGAACGGTAGGTTCAGCACCGGGTTGCAAGATGATGCGGTGATCGATGGCACGCTTCGGAGGGAGTGAAGAGGGAGGATCAGCAGGGAAGATGTCTTTGAACTCGTTCACAACCTGTTGAATTTCAGAAGGGATTTCAGCAGCCTTGGGAAGGAGAGGGAGAAGGGGATTTTCTGATTTTTGATTCAAAAAACAGAGGAAGAATTGAGAGCTTGGGTCTTTGAGGGATTTTTTCAGCTGCCGTTTCGAGAGGAGGTTGCAGCAAGTAGAGGTAGAGGAGGAGGAGGAGAAGGTAGGTAAGGTGGTGTCTCTTCCAGAGTGAGAGATGGTGACGGTTCCAAGAGTCCAATCGATCTTGGGATTTTTTAGGGAAAGCCAGTCTCGTCCAAGAATCACTTCATGGTCTCCAAGAGATGCCTGCTGAAATTGAATCTTGTCTTTGTAGGGTCCAATGGTGCATGAAACAAGAAATGGTACTCGTCCACATGAGATCGAGGTTCCGTTCGCCATCAACACTGTTTGAGTTGGGAGGGAAAGCTTGGAGAGTAGAGAGGAGGAGATGAAGCTAGAGGAAGCACCACTGTCAACTAGAGCTTTCACTCTCTGACCACGAATCAGCATGGAAAGGAGAAGAGGTTCAGAGGGGTTACGACTTTCAAGGGAAGAGATGGTGGGGCAGACATAGTCACCAGAAAGTTGCCCCGAGTTTACTGGCGGCTTGAGCTTCCCGGCGTTGGAAGGATGGGGGGCAGATTGTTGCGCTGGCGGCATACTTTCCAGATGTGCCCTTTCTTGCCGCACTTGTAGCACACGACGACAGGCCTTGGGTTCCTCTTCCTCTTCTCCATCAGGTCCAGGTCCATAGGTGCAGGTTCTTGCAGATTTGAGTCCGTTGGAGTAGATGGCTGGTAGGAGGGAGCAAACGGGAGGAACGGGCTACGAGAAAAGCGAGGCTTGTTGTATGCATACTGGACAGCATCATACCGTTCAGCCACGCGTATCATTTCCTCGAGCGTAGAGCAGTCCCTCAGCTCGACCTCCATGCGCACGTTCGTTTTCAGCCCGCGCTTGAAGCGATCCATCCGTTCAGCATCGGAAAGGTCCGGGATCTCTTGAGCGATGTCACGGAAGCAAGAAGCATATTCTTGAACAGATTTGAGCTACTTCAGAGTAGCCAAGGAGTCTCGTGCTCGGATGTTCGGGTTCACCGGTTGAAAGGTAGCAGTGAAGACTTGCTTGAATTGATCCCATGACTGGATGGTCGCATGCACGGATTGCCACCAGGTGATAGCAGATCCACGAAGAAGGGTGCCGGTGAAAGTAGTCCACTCGGCAGGAACTATGTGACTTAGGAGCAGGTATTGCTCAACAAGAAAGAGCCAACGGCTCACGACTGGTTGGTTTCTCTCGGGAAAGAAAAAATCAGGAAGAGCGGGTCTAGCGCGCTGATTTCCGTCTGGCGGTGCAGCAGGGCTCGAGGCTGCTGCCGCCACTCCAGCTGCAGCTACACTAGCTTGCATCTCAGCTTGCAAGCTCTCTCTAACTTCAGCAACAAGTTGGGCTCGGTACGTTTCCAAGTAGCTGGCCCATTCATCACGAGAAGGTACCTTACTAGTCGTCATGACGCTGTTTTCAAGAAAAGGAGGATCGAAGATAGCTCGGATACCAAATGAAATAGCCACTAAGCTGTTTTGGCAGAGTAGTAGTAGTAGTAGTAGTAGTAGTAGTAGTAGTAGTAGTAGTAGTAGTAGTAGTAGTAGTAGTAGTAGTAGTAGTAGTAGTAGTAGTAGTAGTAGTAGTAGTAGGTAGGAGGATTCCAGAAAGATAGTAGCAAGATAGCTTTTCAAGAGATCATATGATGGCTTACATTTCAGAGGTACATCCTATTATACTAGGATACTGGCTATGGCGCCTCGAGCAGGTCGCTCAGGTCGCCATTCACCTTCCTAGAGCTAGGAACAGCAAGGCAAAGCATTTATTATTAGGTACATAGCATCCTAGCCTTGTTGTCTAGTCCTAGA